TCCTTCCTAAGTGTATTACTTTGCATTTGTCATTTTTGAATTTCATCTTGTTGATTTCAGATCAATTCTCTAATTTGTCAAGGTTGGTTTGAAATCTAATCCTGTCCTCCAAGATGCTAGCACCCCTCCCATCTTGATGTCATCTTCATATTCTCCACTCTATTATCCAAGTTATTAAAATATTAAATAGTACCGGATCCATGGCTGATGTGTGGGACCCCACTAGATTGACAGGAAACCATTGATAACTACTCTTTGAGTATGTTCTTTCAATCAGATTTGCACCAGATAATAGTTTTGTCCAGATTGTATTTCCCTGATTTGATTATGAGAATGTCATATGGAATTGTGTCAAAAGACTTACTAAAATCAAGACATGTCACGTCTTGCTTACCCTGTATCTACTAAGCTAGTAACCCTATCAAAGAAGGAAATTAAGTTGCTTTGGCATGATTTGTTCTGGACAAATCTATGCTAGCTATTGCTTATAACCCTATTATTAGGGCCCTACCAAATTCACAATCCATTTTGGTACATTTCAGTGATAGGATTTTTAAAATCTGAAATTTCACAGTTTCAGATATTTAAATCTGAAATTTCATGGTGTTGTAATGGGGGGTGGGGGGAGTCCTGACCCAAAAGGGAGTTGGGGGGGTTCCAAGGTTATTGTAGGGGGGTTGCAATATTGCCACCCTTATTTCTGCGCTGCTGCTGGTGGTGGCGCTGCCTGCAGCTGGGAGAGGTTAATTGTATTAACGACACTGCTTCTTGAACATAGTCTATAAAGATTTGTTTTTATATTTCCCATAAATGTAGGTCAATATAAAATTCCTTGCTTTAGTCACCATACAGTAAAACAATATCAAGCCTAATAAAGTGCTTTTTTCTAATTGGTAGGCACTTTGTTCCGAACATCACATTTGGACACCCTGTAGTAGAGAGCCTTCGAAAGCAGCTGGGTCAGGATCCTTTCTTCGGTAAGGACTTCATTTTTCCAAACTCTTGAGTACGTGTTGTTATACTGACAGAGGAAACTACAAAACATTGTGGGTTTGAAGCCTCACCTGTGGCCTGTAAGCTCAGGCCACAACTCAGTGGGGTAACCTCAAAACTGTTTTGCTGCTCCCTAACCCTGGGGCTGGTTTTATGCTGTCTTAGTTTAGAATAGCCTTACCCTGGAGGCCAGGATGGTGGCAGGAATCATTGGAATGTGGTTACAGCACATCCCCCTACATGTGGGGAAAGTCGAGGGCTGGTGTAGAGCCAGCTATGCCAGATGAGGATTTCCCCAGCTTTCCAGCCCCTTTCTAGAATTTGAGTAGCACAAAGGAGCCATGTCCTGGGCCTCATGTTCGGTGATTACGAAATATTTATAGCCAAGCAAGACGCTGTAAAAATACGGTTTCCTTTTTTAGCTAAATTAAGTCAGAGGGAGGGGAGACTGTATTATGTGAGCTACTGTTTGTTTGTTTTTTAGTACTTTAAAGAAACACTCTCCCATGTGGCATGTCACTATAATGTAATCGATGTCCTATTAAGCTTGAGTAGTAATTATTACTAAACATATTTAATAATACCAACATTGAGCATGGATTTATATTCTGAATTTGTTTTGTATAAATTAATATGCACTCATTTGAACAGCTTATGCTGTTACTACTCTTTTTGAGCTCTGAGCGCATGCTTTGAATGTGCATCTTCTGTAATGACTCTAAAGCAGCTGATATGGCATATGAATTACAGATAGTCCACATATTGGTATATTTTGGTGAATGATGCATGCCCAGTGTATCTTGCTTACTTGTGATTCCTTTCAGATATGCACATGATGGTTGCCAAGCCGGAGCAGTGGGTGAAACCAATGGCTGTAGCAGGTGCAAACCAGTACACTTTTCACCTAGAGGCTACAGACAATCCAGGGGCACTGATTAAAGACATTCGGGAAAATGGGATGAAGGTGAGGAGCTGGTGTGGCAAGAGTAGTGTGCTGCATTGCAGTAGCTGCCTCCCTCTGGCATTGAAAGATCTGGGCAATAATGTTCTTGAGGACTAATGAAATGAAAGCAATTTATATCTGAACAGAAGTCCTGGAGACAAAGCGGAATCTTGCTTTAATGCAGTGGTCCCCAGAGTGTGAGGTGCACGGAGGGAGGGCCACCCAGCTCCGCTCCTGGCTTCGACTCCTGCTCCCAGCTGCAGCTCCGTCCCCTGGGGGCCATGGACTGGTTACATTATGGGTGGGGAGCAACATAAAAAGTTTGTGGACCATTGCTTTAATGCAATCAATACCTTTTTGCCTTAATTGAGCCTAAATAATATTCCAAATACTGTTCACAATATTTAATCAGTAATTTTTTAAAGCTTGTAGTAGCCACTATCAGAGCAATGCTAACACAGGTGCAAGCCTCCTTTGACCTACAGATGTACTTTCATTTATCTTTCCCTCCTTCCGTAGGTTGGCTTGGCCATCAAACCTGGAACTGTAGTTGAATATTTAGCACCCTGGGCCAATCAGATAGACATGGCTTTGGTGATGACAGTAGAACCTGGATTTGGAGGGCAGAAGTTCATGGAAGACATGATGCCAAAGGTAGATACTGATTGTGTTTTATTAAATGGAACTAGTCTGTTTCTACTCCCTATGCCTTGACAACTGGCAAGGGAGAGGATATTAACAAAAAATCCTTAATCATTTAAATGTTAGAAATTATATAGACCTGGGGAGTATCTATGTAAAACCAAGTGCTTAACTTTTGTGGGGGGTTTTGTATGGGCTCTTTAGATTCAGTGGCTGAGGACACAATTTCCTTCCTTGGATATTGAAGTGGATGGCGGTGTGGGGCCAGACACCATCCATAAATGTGCAGAGGTAAGCTTTAAAAACTGAACTGCACAGTGAGGACTCTCCTTTCTGTGCATGAGATTGTAATCTCCCTGCTGGGTCTTTCATTTTGACCATTTGGTTTGTTTTAGAATCATAAAGGGACCTCAAGAGATCATCTAGTCCAATCCCCAATTAAATCATCCAACAGATTTTTGCCCCATATCCCTAAATGGACCCCTCAAGGATTGAACTCACAACCCTGGGTTTAGGAGGCTACTGCTCAAACCACTGAGCTGTCCCATACCACGACCTAACCTACAGCACTTGTTTTGTCACCCTCTGCTCAGGATAGAACCAGAACTAACCAAGGCTGCAGGAAAGCTGTTTGGGGAAATAATACCCTTTTCTCACTAGAGTAATTTTTTTGAAGTCTGAACCTGTGCTGATTAAGTCCATGCGTGTTGCAAGTGGACAATAGTTACCTACCTTTTCTAATACAGAATTTTCACTAGTTAGAGTGTACTGGGATTATGTGGTGGTGGTCCATATTACACAGCTGTCTGGTTAACCTTCTTCCAGGCAGGAGCAAACATGATTGTGTCTGGCAGTGCTATTATGAAAAGTGAAGATCCTAGATCTGTCATCAACCTCCTGAGGAATGTGTGTTCAGAAGCTGCTCAGAAACGTTCCCTGGACCGATGAGACTGCCAACTCATGCCAAGGCAGCTTGGGTGTGAACGGGTTCTATTCCAGTGTGGAAACATTGCTGCTGAACCAGGACTGCAGCACTGAAGAATTGTTCCTTCACTGCAAGCAGCTGTTTTGCCAGGGCTGGAAATACAATCAGCCAGTGCTATCCCTTAAATTGGCTGGAGACTTATTTTATAGCAGATAACAGGTATTGGATGGAAACAAAATTGTGAGTTTTTGCTTGAAAGGTGTGGAAGACTAAGAGTCTGCTCTGTGCATTCCTACAAAACTGTTTCAATGTTTGAAATAAAACACTGGTGATAAGTCATCTTACGACTAGCAAAACTCATCTGTTAGCTGTTCAGTAGTATGTGCACTCCAGGATGAACCAATCTACCCCAAGAAAGAGCATCTTTCCAGAACTAAGTTCACTAACTTAGACAGGTATGTACACCCCAATAAAGTTATGGTACAATATTTCGTTCTCACAGCAGTGGGAAATAAAAGTTCCACAATAAGCTTTTATCATAGCTTCTCCTTTGAAAAACTAAGTCTCTTGGCCTAGTTTTCATAGGTGGTATCCTTATGACTAGCTAGTGAAAACTTTCCAATATAAATGATCTGAAGGTACAGTTATTAGATTAGACATTGATTCCTGAAGTTTTTACAACAAACTTCATTGTAGAAGAGTGGTTTTGTCACCAGCAGTAGAATAGTAAGTTGCCTGCTATTGTGGGTTAACAAAATTTTAATTATTGCAGAATAAGCAGCCACAGGGTATTGTCTCTCATTTGTACAAAAGCACATGGGGATCCTAAGCCAGGTCTTTTGCATTCTAGCTATTCAAATAGGCTCCAGTGACTAATCATAGGTAAATGTATCCTTCAGGCAATCCATGGCTGGAAGACCAAGCAGCTACTTCAGCTGTTGCCTGTGTATAAAATGTAATAACCAGCATCCATGAGGCCTACTCCAGTGGAGAGGAAGTAGGATAGTTTAGATCCACAGGGTGAATCTGCTTCAGCTGTTCAGTTTCTAAGCAATGATAGTCGAGAGAGGTAGGACTGGTTCAAGAATTCCTCTAGTTAGTCTCTCTCTGAAAAACCATGTTGGACATGTATGTACACTTCTTCCCAATACCCCAATTCAACAGAGATGAGAGACTACAGGTGTGGGGGCAGCTTGTGTAAACATAGCCACTCTAGCTCCCTCAGTAAAAGCAGGTGTGAGGATGCAGCAACAAAGGGTAAGTCCAGACTACCTGCTGAATCGGTGGGTAGTAATCGATCTATCGGGGATCGATATCGCGTCTTGTCTAGACGCGATAAATCGATCCCCGAATGTGCTCCCGTCGATTCCGGAACTCCACCAGGGCGAGCGGCAGTAGCGGAGTCGACGGGGGAGCCGCGGACGTCGATCCCGTGCCGTGAGGACCCAAGGTAAGTCGAAATAAGATACGTCGACTTCAGCTACGCTATTCCTGTAGCTGAAGTTGCGTATCTTACATTGACATCACCCCCACCCCCTCCCACAGTGTAGACCAGCCCAAAGGCATTTGGCATGGGTTGCACAAAAAAGTACCAAGGGGCTCAGACAGGCTTGTAAAGCTTGGGCCAAGGCATCCTCAATGCTGTTAGTAAGCCAGCTAGAGTTTAAACAGAACCAAGTCCGGGATATCTGTCAGTATGGAATCATTTGCTCAAACCTGTTGTGCACCACTTTTCCAAATACAGTATAACTAGTTGCCAGAACTCATTCACACAGTACCCCCAAAACTACCGTGAAGAGAATGTTTAACTGCAGGCAGTCCCATGTTGTCATTTAACACCCTTTCAGTTAGAAAAAATACTATGCTCTGTCCCAAGGAGAAATATGTAATTGAATCCTTTGTCAGGTCCTAGATTAGAGCAGTTTGGGGTCCACACCTTTTTTTGTCAACAGGCTTGAGCAGGTGTAAACTGCCAGCCTAGGGCTGCACTTCAGGGGGAAAACATACATGCAGGAAAACCACCTCACCTCCCCATGCAGAGTGGCTGGCTAATTGTTCCTACTGCAGCACCCCCCTTTGTAAGTGTGACCTCTTCACTTCCACAGCCTCTTATTACGGTTAAGGGAAAGGCTATTCGTCACCATGGAGATTACTACTTTCACATATGCTTAATTACATTCTTCTATTACTCCTTAAAAATTGCCCATTTTCTCACTATTAGCAAACAAATAAAAATGACAATTTTCTGTCCCAGCATGCCTTCCTGCACTTAAAAATAAGTGATGTAAATATGCTTATGCACAGAAAACAGCAGCTACACCTCATCCATGAAAGTACATATTGAACAGGGAGACACTTTCCATTTGGATGCCTGATCAGACTAAGTATTTCCACATTAAAACTAACCACACAGGATCACTCAGTCATGGGTCAATGAATAGAGAAGTTTGACTCAAACTTTCATGCCTAAATCAAATTTCCAGACACTCTGCACATCAGTCTCATGTCATTCAATCTGCCAGACCCCCAGTGAGGAACATAATTAGTTGTACTTTTCTATAACCTCAGTCTCATGATTCTTTAGGTGGATGAATTCATGATGTAAAGACATTTTCAACAATAAAAGTGCAGGGATATCACTGGGACTAAAATGAAAGCCAGTTAAGAATTATTTGTCTCAAAACAGGCAAAGGTCCAATGGAGAGCCAATAAAGCCATCTAGACTGTAGTGCCAAAGCAAACTTTTGTGCACTACTGCATTACTGGACTGGAGGTCCAGGGTGCCCACTATCATCAATGGAGGAAAATATAAAAGACTCCAGATGTCCAATTCAATCCTTATTTGGATGTGGGGTCCTCCAAAAGACAGTTCTGTAAGCAAGCTAGCATGCACCCAAATAGGGTGAGAAACTATACTGAAAATATGCTCTGCTCCCCACATCTGAGGACTTTCTGCCCTTCCCATGCTTTGCTGAAGGTCGTGGATCTGAAGGAGGATGTGAAATGTCTTGCAACAGGGCCAGGGAAGGAGATATGGAGGCCTGAAAAAATGCCTTTTGATTCAAAATGGTAAACAAAGCACATACTAAAACAAGTCACAGTGCCTGACTGCATAATGCTCAGTACTTTACAGCTGCACGGGGATGGGAGGGGAGGAATGACCTGTTTTAGCCTTTATGTAACAGCTAAAAGACAAAAAGTTGAGGAAATTTTTGAACGTTTAAGGGAGGTATTGGGGGGGGGGGGGGACACTTGAGTAAGGGGCTTCATGGCTTTTTATAAACTCAGCCCTAGGGATGAGCTGTGTGTATAGCAGTTCTCTGCATGCTCTGACCTAGACAGCTAATTGTTTCAAAATTCATGTGACAATACACAAACTATAGGTGAGGGAAAGGAAGGAAATTGATAGAGGCCATTTCCATGAGAGAGAATTATTATAACCGTAAGTTTTTATTATTAAGAACTGAAGACAGCACAACAGATATGTACAGCAGATGTGAAGAAAGAGGGTGGGGATGGGGCTTGTGTAGGTGCTAGACAGACTAAGTGCAGTTTCTTACCATCACAGACTTCCTGTGTGGCCTTGGGCAAGTCACTTAGTGTCTCTCTCGCTGTAAAATGGGGATCGTAATCCCACGCTGTCTTGGCTCTGGACTATAAACTGTTTGGGGCAAGGCCTGTCTCTTCCAATGTGTTTGTACAGACCCTAGCATAATAGGGCCTCGATCTCAGCTGGGCTACTGTACTACAAGTAAATAGTAGCATCCCTGGCCCCAAGAGTTTCCAGAGTCAGGGAGATGACACCGGGGAGGAGGGAGGTTTATACCAATAAAATGAGCTTGGGGAGTAGTGGGGGGAGATTTGAAGGAGAGGTTATGTGGTGTGTAGGCTTGGTGGTAGTGGTGGGGGGAAAGAGGATGGCCATTCCAGGCACTTGGGACAGTGGGAGAAAGCACACATGTAATTATGGGAGGACATACAGGCACTGGAAGGATTACAGAATGCAGGGCTGGTATGGGGGAGGGATAAGTAAAGAGAAACAATAAACTATATTCTATTCTTGCCTTATGTCATGGAGTTCAATGGATGGAAGTGGTCTTAGAATCTGCCCCCAGGCAAATGATTTTGCTGTCCCAAATCTGTTTTTTTATCAGATGAGATGTGGACTACACGAGCAAAGTTTCTGATGGAAAATAATGCCTTAAATATTTGCATAGGGAGAAAATATAAAAGGAAAGTTCTCCATTTTGCATCCAGTTTTTCAGTCTCTTTCTTGCCCATCTCATCTTTGCCAGGGTGGTTTCATTACATTCTTGGAAGGTTTAGCCTGTTCACACAATGGGTAGGGCAGAGGGCATCTCAATAGGGACAAAGAGGTTGTGTGCAATCTCCATTTGTATCGGCCATGTAACTGGCAAGATTAACAAATAACATCCTCTTCTAAAGATGTTAATACTGCTCAATAAAGGAAATTGCCAGGAACTACTCCGGGGCAATGCAAAGATTTCCCCATCCTACGTAATACCATTTGTCGTTACTGATTTTATAGTGCAAGAGTCTCCTAGCCAGATCCTCTGAAAAGCAATGCAGCGAGCTGCCTGATAACCCACCAAGCCAGCCCAGTTTGGTTAGTAGTCCTACTCAAAAGTTTACTTCATTTTTAAAATATTCTCTTAACTCTCTCTTTTTCCTTCAGGATCCTGGATGATTCAGACTTCATTACTAAGTCAGTGTTCCTCACCTGTAGTTCTCCTGGGTCCTGCATGCAGGGAGTTCATGTGACTGATGCCCAGATCCCAGGATTGCTCCTCACACTGCCAAATAGATCAGACAAGAGCAGGAGGCACTGAACAATCTATAAAGTTGTATGATGGGAACTATGAGGATCTGAGCTGCTCCTATCTTCACTTTGAAGGAGCAGGGGACTGGAGAAGAAAAGAGCCTCACCTCAGACTGCTCTCCAACTCACATTCCCAGCAGCAGCCAGAAGACGAGGGACAGAGATGAGAAATACCCCATTCCACTCAGAAACTAGGAAGAAGGGATAATAGAGGGGGAAACAACAGTCTCACAGCCAGTTAGTTATCCAGTTAGTTATGCAACATTAACAAATGCAACAGCAAGGCTTTGTACCCTTACTACTTTGTGGCTCCCACAAAGCCATTAAAAGACCATACAGGTCTTCAGCTCTTAAAGGCACATACCACGGATTTGATGGTACAGACCTGTGAAGGGAATCTAAGTACGTCTATTGCTAATCAAATTCAGACTATACACATTGTATGGAAATAACTTTTAATTTAAAAAACCTTGCATTGAAGATTATTGTATCAGACATTGAGGCAAAATTTGAGTTTAATTTGCTGGACAAACCAGTGTTAAAAAAAGGATTTAAAATAAATCAGAATGTGCAATAAACTACAATGTAGCATAGGCAGTAGTGTTGAAACTTGACTGAACTTTTTTCTAAGGTCCAGCGTATATTTCCCAATCTGACAGGAAAAAGTTTAAGTTTGACACTACTAACGGGTCATCTGTCAGTATTGGATATTACAAGCTGAGGAAAAAATTTGTACAAGAACAGAGACTCCTATATAGTTGCCTTCAACTGTTGTACACAGAAAAACTTCCTGCTGACAGTGGTTTATACATACGTGCTACTGGTGTCGAATTATTGTTCTGCTACAAGAATACTGCTATATCGTCAATTCTTGTATGCGTCGTCTTCTATTAGCATCACTTGAGGATGCAGATAAATTCTAAATACAGTAATTCAGAATGTATGAGTTTAAACAATTTGCTTTTATTTTCTTAGAGTGTAATGGCTGGGAATTTAAAAATCAATCTGTATTTAGAAACATTATGAAAGGTTTTTTTTAAGCCCTTCTGATGTCCTTATTAACAAGGTTTTCCTTTCTGGTTAGTCACTCTGCTTTTGCATACTTGGTAGAACCTTGCAAGGTATTGCTTAGAAATCGTAACAACTATACTTGTTGGTAAGATACACAGCACACAGTTATAAGCAGCATTAGCTACTGCAGGTCTACGAGTTAGGTCTCCAAATATCTGATGATCCAAAATGAAATTCAGAGCTGCATCTTCATTTAATTCAATCTTCGTTTCCTCACCACTCCTAGGCTTCTCTGCTCCCCATGTGACTGAAATAGAAAACTGTCTACCTTTCATATAGTAGAGAAATCAACTATGGAAATATAGTGGTATATTTGTGTGTTAGTGTTTGAGGATTTCTGCATGAAACTAACAATAGAGTTGAATGAGTGACTCATTTTAAGCCAAATATAAGGCTTCTGAAAGTGTCATTTAAAAACTACTGGTAGTTAAATATTCAAAGGGATTTCAGACAAGGCAGGTATTTGCCACATGCTCATGCCACCAAAGGAAACAATTTGAAATTACCCCCTCCTCCTCACTGTCTTTTCAAGTAGTTTTTCTGTGTTTTGAAGTTGTTTGTTTAAAGGAATAAAGTGTGTTCTGCTGTCCCAGAATCCATCAGAACCATAAACACATTTGAAAGAAAAAAAGGAAGAATATTAAAGAACGTGGCAAGATGACAACAGAAAGCAGTAAACCGTGCCAGCTATTTAGGTGTGCCCACTTTCAGCACAGGGAATACTAGACTTCCAGCTCGAAAGAATTAGTTTCTCTTGTGGTTCAGGAAGAAGAAAGTGTTGCGTTTGGGATTTTATCCTGCCTGTTACAAAGCAAGAAAGAAAATATATTATATGCTGCTAATGTACAGTATTTGAATGGTGCTGTTATTTCTTGTGTGAACAACAGAGATTTTACCTTATACTTTTCTCCATCTTAATCGGCTTTCTTAATGAACCACGTTATTCCCTGTCACCTGTGTTTTCTTGTGCTGCAGAGTCCCAGGAAAAGACTTTTGCAGTCTTCAGGCTCTTCTGTGGATTGTTTTCTTGGTGGATGGCCATTGTTTGGCAAAGTGATGGGAGTACATGAAGTGCAGAGGGAGTCACTGTGGAAAGCTGCACTTGAACTTTCAGTCTGATTTGTTATTTGGTCTTGGCACCGTAAGGTTTCTATGTCTTCATCCTTTAACGGAAAAACCCGAAGTTCCCACAGCTCAGACTGAAAGGAGTCAAAGGGGGGAGGGGAGGAAAGAGGGGTCCTGATTAGCTATGTGCAGAATGATTCTGTTATCAAATAACAAATGAGTCTTGTTCTTTACAGTGCTTGCAGGGTTCTTCAGCTACAGGGAAGAATACCATTCTGCTGGGTACCAATTTTCAATGTAGCTTGGCTTAATACAGCACAACTTCATTTTGTATAGAATCTTTTAAATAAGTTGTATCCCAACATTGTTTCCAAGGTTAAACAATGCAGTTACAATGTAAGAGGCAAGGGACGTAAAAAAGGAATCCTCTATTTTCTACTGTTAAGAACATCTATTACCATCACAATCAGTACTATTTGGAACACATGTTGGCATCCTCTGAAAAAAAGCTACAGAACGTATCAATAGAGAGCCTGCTACTCTCTCATCTCCGAGGCTGAGACATTTTGACCCACTAGTGAAAGTTTTGCCTGTGCTGTTCCTGTTCTGGTGACAATCGAGGACTTCATTTGGAAGTGATCTCAATCTGGTAATTTGCAGAAGCTTTAAACGCAATCCAAACATTAGAGATGAGAACACTTACATTTGCAACTTTAGAGCCTGATCCAAAACCCACTGAAGTCAGGGAAACTTTGGGCACTGGATCAGGCCCTTACTTACTAAAAACCATCATACCTTTGCTGCTTGGTTTTCCTTTGAAGGCTGTGGGACCCTTAAACATACAGAACTGTGGATTTCTGAAGTAAGATCAGAAGCAGCTTCAGCAGCACAACGCAGTGAGGCACATGAGTTGCGATGGTTTTCTTTCAGTACTGGATCTTGGCCCTGCTGTCCTTCAGCATTTTTGCTATAAGGTCTAGTACAAGACAAAATGAGAAAATAAGCTTTTGTTTAATAACTGCTCTGTCAAGTGACTGGAAACAATTCCGATTTTTTTTTAAAAAGAGGAAAAAAGGCACTACTCTAAGTTTTTAATAATAGCTTCTTATTTATATGCTTAGAAGTAAAGAAAACCTGAAAACAGAACTCTAAAGCAAAGCTGACCTTGGTATAAAATATTTAAATACATTTTTATATCTTTGACAACATTTTTTTGAAAGTTCAAACTTAACAGAATCCAGTACTTGAAGTGGGTCTCTGAATGCAATTACTTTCAGTCTTAGATCCAGAGAAGTGACACCCCATTCTTTCATCTAAATCGGAGATTACTGAGTGAGAAGTGACACCCTATTCATTTGACTAAGGCAATAATTACTGAGCACCGCAACGAGCAGCAGAAGTGGGATGGGTTCAGAAAATGTTAAGATTTTATTCACTAATATCCCAATAACCTAGATTTTCTTTAAATTCCTAAGATTTAAAGCTATATAGTTTTCCTTTTCAAGCAATACATTAAATATGCATGATACCGTACATGGTAAACTATTTGATGAGGAATACTCTCATTTTCAAAGATGCTTCATCCTATTGATAGGATTTCTAAAAGTTGCTGTGTTACCAACAGAAAATCCCAATGATTCTGTAAGAGTCCTCCATTTATGACAATACACCTGCCTGCTATTTCTTCTGGGCCATCGGCTCTGTTCCCACAATGACCACCTTGCTTTCTCTCTCTCTTCATATTTTGCATGACGTGAAGAAAAAAGTTCATCTGACAGATCTTCGATCTGTAATTATAAATGAGAGATGGCTGCTGCCATGATTACAAGCATCACTAAAAATGAAAACAATGGTTTTATATACAGTCATGTGGGGAATCTGTGTCACACGCACAACAAAAAGTATCGAATGTGCACTGGAGGGTACAAAGGTATAGTAAACTATGTGTTTATGTTAAAATATGACAGAAAAGTACGGCTATATGATACAACAACTTTTTAGCCTGCTAATTTACACGTTTGGAAGGGGGGGATCTCAAGTTGATATAAGAATTATTTTCACCCCATGGAAATAATCAAGGACTACACTAGATTGAAAAGCAAGAGGAAGGTTACTTGTAAGTCAAGTAAACAGGAGACGTACTCCATTTGTGGATGCACACTTGTGTCTCTTCCAGGGCAGGACACACAAGTGAACTATAGCACTTAAGAGCAACTACATTTTCCTTCAGAGATGTAAACTGTCAGATTCTTTTGCATTTTGGTTCTAAAGTAGCACAGCAAATCTAGTTTTTAAGAGTTAAGCATGTAGATCCTCAGGTAATAGTATCCTTAAAAAAAGTTCCCGGGCTATTTTATGAAGTTAACTGTTGAGCATTAACCATGACCCCAAGAATTCTACTCAAGGTTATAAAAAGCCGGTGTCTCCAGCTGGTCTGAATTCCTCTCTACTTCAGCATCCAAGACTTAACAGAAGTCTGGGGATGAGGTGCAGTGTGTAGATATGCAGAGGCAATACATTCGGAAAATTCCAGTTACTAATAAGCAAGTTCCATTCTTCAAAAATTGCCTCCGCAGAGAACAATGAACAGCAGCAGTGTTCAGGAGAAGGGCTTGGAAGTGCTTAGCTGAAAAAAGACTTGAGAAAACAGTGTTTCATTCTTCAGTCGGGCTTCCAATTTGAAAGAACAGTGCTGGATAAGCTGAACTTTGTGCAGCAGACTTACAAATCTGTTAGGGAGACATGGCAAAGGGGAGAGGGAAAGGCACACCGAGCACTACCAAAAGAACCCTTAATTCTCTCAGCACTGGAACTCCTGCTTACTCATAGCCTATCATATATATCCGATTTAAACAGTCTCTGAACAGAGACTGCCTGGGATGTCTTACCAAATATAAGCAGCTGAGATGATTTCCTAGAAGGCTTGGACCTATCCAAATTTTGAAGTCTGGCCTGAGCAGGCATACTATGAAGCTTTCAGAGGAGTGGAGCAAAAAGTTGAGGTGAAGATACAACACAACGTTATCTTTGTGAAATAGTTTAAATGGAGGATGGGCCATAAGGGCTTAGATTTTGCTCAGACCGATGGTTACCATATCTGCAACCAGAAAAACGATGTTTAGAACAGACTAAAATTGCTTGAAGAGGGAGTCCAATGTATCTTGGCAAGTTCCAGGAGCCCAGAGAGTTATAAAGGAATGCAACAACTCTAAGCTAATGTTTCACAGAAGGGTGCATAGGGAAAAAAAAAAAAAGATACTCATGCTGCAGGAGTGGGAAGCAGCAATGTGCTTTGAGCATGGAGTAATGCAAGTATGACCTCATTAAGAATAAAAAACATTCTAAAATGAAAGGCCCCGGGGGAAAGGTGAATGCCACATTCCTACTAGAAACCCAGCAGAAAATATAGTCACCATTTCAACGCAGAAGATTTCTTAGTGAATGGTTTCCAGAACTCCAGCAAGATGCTTAGATCCAAGCTCATGAGAATTTTGGTTGCTCAGTTAAGCATGAGGCCCAGGCTGCTAAGTGAAGCCCTCTGGATCCAGACACCAGATCTGCCCTGCACTTTGAGACAGTCTGACTCTTACTTCTTCCGCAGAACACTGAAAATGGAGGTTGCTGCTCAGTCACAGCTGAGAAGAACAAGGATATGCACACAAAGGAGCTGTGTTTTGCCCTCCTCAAGACACCCGAGGACCAGTTCTCCACAGGCCCGCTCTCCGGCATAGAGTTCAGAACAGGTTCAGGACTGCTGTAATGTACTCTGGTTGCCAATGGCCCAAAAATTCACTTGAGCACCTTGGGATGGTGAGAGCAGATGGGTGCTATGGCCACACCTTGTTTTTAAACAACAATGGATGTTACATTAATGACACTGTTCATTTTCCTAGTTAATTCAATACAATATTCCATTTTGTAAGTGTGCCTGAAGGTGCTGCAGAATCTTCAGTCAGCTGCCATGGAAATGAGGCTTTGTCGACCTTAGCACTTTTGTTGGTAAAACTTTTGTCAATCAGGGGTGTGGAAAAAAAACCACCTCCCTGCCCGAGATAAGTTTCAACGACAAGCCAGTTGAACAGCGCTTTGTTGGCAGGAGACACTCGTTGGGGTGATTTAATTATGCTGGCAGGAGAACTCTCCCCCTCCGGCATAGAGCGGGTACACGGGAGACCTTACAGCGGTGTAGCTTTAGCGGTACAGCTGTGCCGCTGTAAGGTCTGTAGTGTAGACAAAGCCCGGGGGAGCTAACCACAAATTTTAGGTTAAGTTTTGCCAAAGAGCACATTGGACCCTGGTAATACCCTACAACAGACAGCACACAGCCACGTGGTTTTTGCTGCAACAGGGTTAGGTACATGATTTTACAAAATGGATGAGGGAGTTTGTAACTGTTAGATGTGAACACAAACTATCGCAGCTGCGTTATTCTGTGATAAATCTATCTGAACACAGCACTCCACAGCTTCACTGTGAGCTGCTGCTGGGGACCTAGAACCTGATCCAAAGTCCACAGACTTCAGTGGAAAGACTCCCATTAGCTTTACTGGGCTTTGAGTTAGGCCCTAATGCGCATGCTTGCAAAGCTAGCTGATAAGTGGATGTGGAAAGTCTGGCATGCCAGGCGCACCGCTCTCAGCTCTCTGACATTGATGTGGAGAGCAAGCTCTGCCTGAGACCAGAGGCCTTGAGTTCTGAGGTCTCCCAGATGTGCTCCCCAGCCCAGTGCTGATGCGTCCGTCACTAGGGAGAGAGACGGCTGAGGGCTGGAGAAGGGAATCCCTGCACATACTACCTGTGGGTTGAGCCACCACAGAAGTGAGTCAAGAACCTGGCGAGGCAGGGTTACAACCTTGTCCAAATTGTCTCGGGCTGGCCGATACCCCGATGCTAGCCATGACTGAAAATGCCAAAGTCCAAGTGCACCACATAGGTACAGGCTGCCATGTGTCCTAGAAGTTTCAGGCAATTCCTTGCTGTGGTAGTGGGGAACTGCCTGAGACCTCGAATGATATTGCCAAAGGCCTGGAACCTCACTTCCGGGAGGTACGCCCTGGCCTGGGTCGAGTCCAGCACTGTCCCTATAAATTCTATCCGCTGAACTGGAGACAACGTTGATTTCCCCTCATTCAGAAGAAGGCCCAGATTGTCGAACGTTACCCTTATGAAGTCGACCTGTGCCTCCACTTGAGCTCTGGAGCGGCCCTTGATGAGCCAGTTGTCGAAGGACGGGAACACCTGTACCTGCCACCTGTGCAGGAACGCGGCCATGACTACCGTGCACTTGGTGAACACGCGAGGTGCCGCTGAACGGGAAGACTGTGAACTGATATTGGTTGTTGTTCACCACAAACCTGAGGTATTTTTTGTGGGGCGGAATTATTGCTATGTGAAAGTATGCGTCCAAGTCAAGGATGGCATACCAGTCTCCTGGATCCAATGAAGGGATGATTAAGGCCAAAGAGACCATGCAGAACTTGAGCTTCTTCACAAACTTGTTGAGTTCTTGCAGGTCTAGGATGGGCCTGAGCCCGCCTTTGGCTTTCGGTATTAGGAAATACTGGGAATAGGAAACCCTTGCCCTTCTGCTCTGGAGGAACCTCTTCCACTGCCCCTAGCAAAAGGAGCGAGTGCACCTCCAGTATAAGGAGTTGCCCGTGAGAGGTCCCTGAAGAGGGACAGGGAAGGGGGATGGAAGGGGGGGGAGAGGGCACAGAATTGGATGGAGTATCCCCTCTCTACCGTGCGCCACACCCAGCGGTCCGGAGTGATACGGGACCATGCATGGTAGAAAGGGGATAGTCGGGATGAAAAGGTAAGGCGGAGTAGATCCAGTTCTTGTTCTGGTGTGCCATCCTCGACCGCACCTTCAAAAGGCCGATTTGGGACCGGGAGGTGGCTTGGATTGGCCAGAGCCCTGGCCTGAGGACAGGTGCAGCCTCTTCCTACTGCTCCAATTCCTCCTCCAGGAACTGTCCTGTCGGTTCTGCTGTTGGTAGAACCGCGGAGGAGGTTGTGGTCTGAACTGTTTCCGCTGCACGGTGGGAGTATGGAGGTCCAGCCATTTGAGGATGGCTCTTGAGTCTTTTAGGCCAGTGGTCTCCAAACTTTTTTGATCGCGCACCCCGTCAGTAAAAACTTTTGAGCTCGCACCCCCTGCTCCCGGCCGAACTGTTGAAGCAAAAAACAACAACAACAAAAAAGCTGCTCGGACTCCCGGCCGAACTGCTGGGGGGGGGGAGGGGGGGAAGTGGCGCTGCTCCGGTGGCGCACCCTGATGGATCCTCTATGCACCCCCTGTGGTGCGCGCACCCCACTTTGGAGACCACTGTTTTAGGCTATGAAGCCTTTTATCCATCTTTTTGGAAAACAAGAGTCACACCCTCAAAGGGGAGGTCCTGAATGGTCTTCTGGACCTCGTATGGCAGACCTGAAACTTGGAGCCAAGAGCCCCTTCTCATGGCCAACCCTGTAGCCATCACCCTGGAGGCCGCATCAAAACTCAACAAGTTTTGCAGAAGAAGGTTCTGAGTGAAGAGCGTGTTCCTTAGCATCCTGAAGAGGGAAGTCAATGGCTGTGGGAATTTTTTTCTCCTTGATACCAGGTTCTAGAGAAGGAAGAGGAGGGATAAGAGTGATGAGGAAGCAGATTCTTGAGCAAGAAGTGCTCCTTTAGTTACCCTTACCTAGCTGTTCTCCAAACAGCTTAATACCCTTGTAGGAAAGGTCTGTGATGTACTAAATGCAGCCTTCCTGCTCCAAACGCAAATATAGCAGCTGCTGTAGCAAGTGAGGGGGTTCCTTCTAAATCTATGAGCCTATCAAAGGCAGCATTAAACAGGAAGAAGGCAGCCTAGGTAGAATCTGTAAGAAAACTAAGAATCTCACCAGGTAGGTTAAGAGAAGGGGACACTAGGATGGAGACAGTCTCCTTCTTTAGAGCCCAGAATACAATGCCAAATGAGTGAAATCAACAGCTAGGACCTACTGGGCACTGCAAAGGGAAAGGTTGGCCGCCTTGTCTGTGGAGACTATAGAACAGGGGTAGGCAACCTATGGCATGTGTGCTGATTTTCAGTGGCACTCACACTGTCCGGGTCCTGGCCACCGGTCCGGGGGGGCTCTGCATTTTAATTTAATTTTAAATGAAACTTCTTAATCATTTTAAAAACCTTATTTACTTTACATACAACAATAGTTTAGTTATATATTATAGACTTATAGAAAGAGACCTTCTAAAAATGTTCAAATGTATTACTGGCACGCGAAACCTTAAATTAGAGTGAATAAATGAAGACTCGGCACACCATTTCTGAAAGGTTGCCGATCTCTGCTATAGAATATGTAGGCAAAGTACATTTTCAGAGAGACAAGAGGCAGCATCTACCTTGGGAAGAAGAAATCTTTTACCCTTGGTCACCTGGAGTATTTTCTGGAGCCAGGAGATCATTTGTTTACCTGATCCCACTCCTCAGAATAACCTCTAGGATTGCTGCATGGCAAGGTATTACCTCTTCAGTCTCGAAAGAAGAGAGAACCCTTTTGAAAAGTTTACTCCTTGGCTAGTTTATTGGAGCATCTAACCCCCACACAGAAAGGGCCCTCAGAGTAAGAGGCTCTAGGAAGGATATTCTCACCAGGAGGGCAGCAATATTTTTGTTTGGGATCAAGGTCTGGATGCTGGTCTTGGAACTGCTGTGTTTACAGTTAGTCCAAGTAGGGATCAGGCAAGTGGGACAGGTCAGTGATAGTGATTAGAGATAGAAATCAGATACCTCCAAAGATTTTGGGAAGGTAGCAAAAATGGCAGGTTTCTTACTAGGTATTTGACCCAGGTCAGGGGAAACAGCAACAGAAACATGGGGAGGAGGAGGAACCAGACTAGAGAATGGATCTGGGAAATGCCCTGCATGCCTGCTCGAGGGAAAGAAAGCTCCCCAAACCAATAAGCCCAGGGGGTGCCATGAAAGAGGCCGGCTGACCCATGCTCCTGAAGGAACAATAGCAGTGGGTGATGAAGAAATTGTTCATGGTTTGCTGAGGAGAGTGCTGCACTGCTTCAGATAGGAAGTTGGAAGGAGAAATGGATCCCTCCCACCAATGGAAAACCAAATTACGAGGCGAGGAGTAGGCAAACGGAGATGGGGCTGAAAAAACCTAGTGTCCTCCACCCAAAAAAAGAGACAAAAATACCTGCTAAGCTGCTACAAGCCCAAGGAGTTGGCTTTCTGGTGCTGCTTGTAGACAATGCAGAGGAAGTGGGGCTGCTAGCAAACCTGGAGAGCCACCTGATTACCCACTCCCTGAAGAGGGTTTCCCACTGGATCTCCAGTGTCCCAGTCCTCGGAAAGAGAATGGCAGCGAATGGGGAAGGAGGTTGGTAGAAGGGGCTTGCTGCTGAATCACTGGCTGGGCCCTGGGGTGCTAGAGCCTTGCCTAAAAAGGTGCAGGTTCTGAGATAGAAAACCTTAGTTGCCTCAACTCTCCATGTGTTCTTTCATAACCTATTTTTCTCCTTCCTCTTATCCTTTTAATCTTAGGGCTAAAAGGAAAAGAAAAAAGAATCAGGGTGCAAGAAGCTAGAGGCCCATGCTTCCTGTTTCTAGGATGTGGGTAGGCTGCTGCTTATATACTAGCACTGACTCCCGATTCTTTCATCTCCTTGCTTCCTAATGGAGATTCATCTTGCCATCACCCATTAGTGTTGCTACTAAGAGGTTGGTAGGATGGGAGAAGAGACATCTGACAAAACAAGTATATAAAACACGTGTTCACAGGGATAGCTCAGTGGTTTGAGCATTGGCCTGCTAAACCCAGAGTTGTAAATTCAATCCTTGAGGGGGCCATTTAGGGATCTGGAGCAAAAATCTGTCTGGGGATTGGTCCTGCTTTGAGCAGGGGGTTGGACTAGATGACCTCCTGAGGTCCCTTCCAACCCTGTGATTCTATGAATGTTTTTACATTCATAGTTAGTACAATCAGCTTCTTTTTACAACTTCAGTAGTCACTGGTAAGTTTGAAAACATACATTGATAAACCATGTATTAAACTCTTGGTTTCATTAAAACGTAGCTTACCTCTTCTTCATCTACATGAGATCGCCCCAGAGGATGAAGTTCAACAACTCTCCAGCTACAAATCGGAGAAGGGGAGTTAACACAGGATTAGCCAAATCGAATGTTTTATCACTTCAGCAGTGGAATGAGATTATCCTGTTCTCATTAAATAGGACAATGCTGCAGTACTTACGCTACAATTGTTGTAAGGGAATGTCAATATTTAAGAAAAATGATTTTAATTTAAATAAAAATCATGAAAACGTGTCTTCTAACATTAGGTTCTAGAAAATCTTTCTTTAAAAAAAATACAGAATCTGAGCTCCTTAACATTGTCCTGTTAATATTATTTTAAGCCTTTAAATAAAACCAGCCAAAACCTGAAACACAAGTCAAAGATTTGCAGATAAAAGGACTAGGCATTGCTAGTTTAGATGACACACGTTATTTAGTTTAACAAAAACTTGTTTAAGCTGTTCCAAGAATCAAAGGATCTGTGTTTTTTAAACAAGTTTAGAGAACCAGATATCAGAAATAATGGGGTTATGCTACATGAAAAGATTAAATTCAATTAATAAAATCGGAATGTTTTAAAAAATGTATAGGTATGTGTTTTTCTGTGCATGTTATTGGGAGGTTGCTTTTTTCTGCTGAACTAAGACATTAAAAAAAAGATAATCTCCAATTAACTACTTAGAGAAAGATAATCTTCTTAAAACACACATTTGTGTCTGCAATGAGTACTAGAATTAAGATGAGAGAAAAACATTCCTCTTTATTTTTACAGTCTGCTTACTCTGTGCATCAGACACCATTGTGTGTGCAGTGTGACCATTTCCCCTGGATTGTCAATCTTCCCCATTGCTGGGGGGTTCTTTCATGCAACGGGGGTGGTGGGTGTGGAGGGGGGGAGAGGAGGAACATTTATGAAAACAGAAAAAAATATCAGTGGGGTGCAAAGAGGGGAAAATGAGCATACCTTGGAGTAAGGATTTCTTTGTATTGCAGCTTCTCCAATTTAGAGGGAGCAACCAGTGACATAGGAATAACAATGTTGTCTATATCATAGGAGCTCTCACTTCTCAGTCTCCGTCTAGAGTTATGCTGTATAACAATTAATAATACAGAAGAGTCATTAGCTTAATGATAATAGCTGCATGTTAACTACAAGACAATAAAACTAAACAATTGTTTTGTACTTTTAACAGATAGACAAACGCAGAGTGACTTTTTAGAATGACGTTTTCAAAAGTACTCAGTTTTGGACTAACTGTATTCCCATTGAAGTCAATGGAAGTTTTTCACAATTACAGTTAATGCTGAGTAACACTGTTGACAATCCCACTCTTAATAGCTATATTTTTCATAACGTTCTGAAGGCATTCTAGAATAAATCTACTAACCTATAACCTGACCACTACGCAGATGTTCTTGTACTCGATAAAAATAAGAATTCCAAGAGGTCAGAGCCTAAATGCAGTATATGCAATGAATTTATCAATGTAGAGCAATCTAGATGGAAAATATTTGTCTGGAAATCTGCAGAAATCCCTTTGTAGGGATAAGAGGATGCTGAACTTCTCAGAATTTTCCTCTTTGGGGCTATCCAACCTCTTCTCTCGTGTGTGGACTGACTTTTCAGGATTACAGTAGGTGGTTTGGGTTTAAAACATGATTCAATCTAAATTATAGAGCTTTCTGTTTTCAGCTGAAAAAGCCTGTTTCAGAATAAATCACTTTCATTCAATCTGGTAAAGGAAAAAAGTTCCCACTAGATGCAGATGTGTAAAAGACTCAGTCAAGGAAAGAAATTCAATAGAATTCGCATTACTGAAACTACGTAGGGAACATCACTTAAGTTTCAATTATCAGGTACAGTATTTGTAAACTGTAAGTCTTCATATTTCTGTCTTACAGAATTCCAAAGTTCCAAAGCACTGAAACCTGAAGACTTCTAGGGTGAAATTCTGTCACTCTAATAACTGGGAAGTTTGGCATTGATTTCAATGGGGCCCGGATGTCACCACCACTTTACCAGAGGCTTTGCTAATAGTTCAGTTAATAGGAGTTTGAGATAGTCATGGTTTGGTAAATCAAGATGCAACAGGATAAAGTACCACAACTGTATTTACATTGCCAGCCAATATTGTGTAGATCCATCAGGAGGCGGCATTATAAAAGCCTCCAGTCACAGTTTCGGGGGGACTTAAATCATAATGCATTTCATTAGTTTTAAATGCAGAGTTTTTTAACAAGTTCTCACTGATAAACTAATTCATGGTCTGCGAAATACTTGTCTTTGAGAATGCATTTCTATGTTTTAGAACAGGGGTCAGCAACCTACGGCACGCCTGCCAAAGTTGGCACGTGAGCCGATTTTTCCCGGCACGCGGCGCGGGCTGAGCGGCTCAGCCCGCCACCGCTCTGGAGTTCCTGCTGCTGGCCTTCTGCCAGCCGGGGACCCACCGCGGATCCAACTCAGCACCCGCTGCTGGCCTGGGGGGAAGGAACCCCAGGCTGGCAGCGGGCTGAGACCCCGGCTGGCAGGAGCTGGTGGTGAAAACCCCAGAGCCGCGGCAGGCTGAGCCGCTCAGCCCGCCCCGCTCTGGAGTTCCCGCTGCTGGCTCCTGCCAGCCCGGGTCCTGCCGTGGGTCCAACTCAGCACCCACTGCTGGCCTGGGGGGGAAGGAACCCCAGGCTGGCAGCGGGCTGAGACCCCGGCTGGCAAGAGCCGGTGGTGAAAACCCCAGAGCGGGGGTCGGGCTGAGCTGCTCAGCTCCCCGACACTCTGGGGTTCCCGCTGCTGGCCCCTTGCCAGCCGGGTCCCGCCGCTGGTCCCACTCAGCACCCTCTGCCGGCCTGGGTGAAGGAACCCCAGGCTGGCAGCAGGCTGAGACCTCAGCTGGCAGGAGCTGGGGGCAAAAACCCCAGAGTGGCCGTGGGCTGAGCCAGTCGCTGCTCTGGGGTTCCGGCTGCTGGCCCCTCGCCAGCAGGGGTCCCTACCGCACAGCTCCACTCACCTTGCTTCCGGTTGGAGGCTCTCTTGCAGACAGGGTCCAGGCCTACAAGCCACCTACTCCACTCACCTCAGCTGCCAATCTTGGTTTCCAGCCGCTGCTCAGCCTGCTTTCCAGCCTGGAGTCCCAGCAGGCCACCCTGAGCTCTGCTCCTGGCCTTGGATCAGTCCTCTTCAGCCTCCCCGCTGTGGCCCACTGTCCCCAGCCTGGGACAGTGAGGGTTGCACACCAGGCAAGAGGGGGTGCAGCTCAGCACCCCCATCTTAAAATTGCTTATCTTAGACCACACTGCGTTGGACCTGGTGCCTGCCTTCTATCGCCATGTTTTTTCCCACTGAGAGTTGAAGGGAACATTTGACAAAATGGCAGCTCCTAAGAAAGCAAAGCTAGATGTCCGATCATTTCAGCCTGCTTGGACAGATGCATTTGGATTTTTTGAAAAGAAGGACCGTGCTATTTGTGCTTTCTGTTATGAAGGTGTTGTTTGTCGCACATCAAGTGTTAGACGACATTTTGAAATGAAGCACGAGAAAAACTTTCTTGAAGCAGACAAGACTGAATCAATCAAAAAGGCAGTAGCAGCCTATGAGAAGCAAAGCAGTGTTTTTAAAAGCTTAAGTGTAAGTAAAAATCAAGCTACAGAAGGAAGTTACAAGATTGCACCGTGCACTGCAAAAAACGGAAAGCCGTTTACAGATGGGGGAATATATAAAAAGTTTTTCTCAGCAGTTCGGAAATTTTGTTCAATGATTTGCCAAATAAAGATACAATCATATCTAGAATAAAAGAACTGCCTGTCTCTGCCAGAACAGCTGAGAGACGCATAAGTGAAATGGCAGAAAACATTAAGGAAAAGTAGACGACTGCATTGAAAGACACAGCACTGTTTAGTGTTGCAGTTGATGAGAGCGTGGATATAAATGATGTTCCACGTTTGGCAATTGTTGCAAGATATTGTGCTTCCGATGAAATCCAAGAGGAACTTTGTTGCCTAAAACCCCTGCATGGCACAACAAAGGGGGAAGATATACTGGAAAGTTTTGTAAACCATTTTGAAGAACAAGGAGTTGACATCAGAAAAATATCTTGTGTGACAACAGATGGTGCTCCTGCCATGGTTGGAAAACAGAAGGGATTTGTAAAGTTACTTGAAGATCAAATTGGCCATTCGACAGTCAAATTTCACTGCATCATCCATCAAGAAAACCTGAGTGCAAAAATTTCTAATTCAGAGCTTAATAATGTGATGAATACAGTGGTGCGAATTGTGAATTTCCTTGTTGCTCGATCTGCTTTGACTCACAGACAGTTTCAAGCACTGCTAGAAGAGATGGACAGTGTTTATAACGACATCCCACTTCACAGCAACATTCGGTGGCTAAGTCGTGGCAAGGTTTTGGTGCGCTTTGTAAACTGTTTTGAGGCAATCAAGGCCTTTTTGTCAGAAAAAGAACAAAACTACCCCGAACTGGATGATGACAAATGGCTGTGTAAGCTCATGTTCCTAACTGATATCACTGCTCATCTAAACGAACTCAACCTCTGTCTCCAGGGTGCAGGGCAAACAGTTCTGGATCTTTATGAAGCCTGGAAAGCATTTGTTGTGAAACTAGCAGTTTTTTCCAGGGATATTCAAACTTCTGTTTTCCGCTACTTCCAACACATAAAAGAGCTATCGACACGTTGCACTGTCAGTGTCGATGAGATTGGAAAGTACATGCAAGAACTGGAATCAGAATTTTCTGACAGATTTCAAGATTTGGCCCAATGCTTTCTTTTCTAATTAAACCTGAAAAGTTCAACGAAAGCGACTTGGATTTGTCTGTATTTCAGTGGATGGGTGTTGAAGATTTCGAAATGCAGCTTATTCAGTTAAAAAGCTCAGAACTGTGGACATCAAAGTTTGTGGATCTGTGGAGTGCACTTGAAGCTACCGAGAGAGAGCATGGGGGCCTCTATTCTGACCTGCTGGACGTCCCTGCCAGTGAAATTTAACTGTTTGAAGAAAATTGCGTTTGCAATGCTTTCAGCATTTGGATCCACATACCTGTGTGAACAGGTATTTTCACACATGAAATCTGTCCTCTGTCCCTCTCGGAGCCGGTTAACAACTGATCACTCAGAAGCCTGTGTGCAGTTTAAAGTATCCAAATACATGCCAGACATTGGAAAACTCAGCAAGGAAAAGCAAGGGCAAGGATCACACTAAACTGATAAGATCTGCATTTTAATTTAATTTTAAATAAAGCTTCTGAAACATTTTGAAAACCTTGTTTACTTTACATATCACAGTAGTTTGGTTATATATTATAGGCTTATAGAGAGACCTTCTAAAAAGCGTTAAAATGTATTACCGGCACGCGAAGCCTTAAATTAGAGTGTATAAATGAAGACTCGGCACACCACTTCTGAAAGGTTGCCGACCCCTGTTTTAGAACATGCCCTTCCCAATACAGACTAGTAATCTCACTCTAACTAGGCATGTGTAAAACTGCGTAAAGCAAAGTACAATGTGAAAGGCTTATATTTTTTATTTACTAATTTGCACAACTCTCTGGTGATGTTTTACTTAATCCATCAATATATTCATTTTTCGTTTACCTGTGATGATGCGTTTTGGGTAGATCTAGACATCAGATTGACATGGGTCACGGCAGTAAAATCATTATGGGATTCTGGTTCTGCATGTTGAAAGGAAAAAGCTTCAAACCTACTGTTACTTTCTCCTGCCACAAAAAGATTTGGGGAGGGAATAATAGGATTTTTTTTAGTCTATTACATTAAAAATATTTCCCACATAGTAGCAAATGAGGCCTTTTCTGAAAGCCCACAGCTGAACACTTGGAGATTTCATGAACACCTAACAACCAGCTGTAAAATAATCACTTACACGGCTCTATCCATCACAAATTCACCTCCATCACTATTGTCCCACAAAAACGGTCTCTCTAGTTCAAGGGGGTAATTCCCTCTCGGAAGCAGCCTCATTGTGTCAGATCCTGAATCCTTTACAGAAACTACCACACTACATACAACCAACAATAATCAGGTTTGTGGGAATAATCTTGGACATCACCTGAATAGAGAGTATAGCCTTCCCTGACTGGGCTATATATCACATAGCCATTAGAGCCTCCAATCAGCTTTTCCATAACCAACAGCTTTTTCCTGACTGATGGCTAAGTGGAATTGGCAGCAAAGATGACAAAGGCAAAGTCAGTTTTCTCACCTGCAAGTCTGATTTCCCCTAAAGTAGAGTCAATGTTCTAGACAAATAATAATCTATGGGTATTTTTTATTCAATCCCAGTGAATATAGCCCCTGCTGCAATTTTGTTTGGACTCGAAAAGCAAACCACCATTGTTCCCAATTCTCTCTTCTCCCGACTTGAAGGAAGAAAAGAGAATCCCACACTAAACTAAACCTATTTAGAACACTAACTAAACATAAAGAGGGTCTGTCGAGAGCAGTGGATCCAATGCGGGAGAAAGAGGTAACAGACGTCTAGATAAAGCATCGTAATGCACAGCGTGGGTCAAGTATATGAACTCTCATCTCATAAGCAACTCTGCAACTCCCTGGCACAGAGTATTTTATTTTTGGCCTTGCTCACCAGGCTGCTGACCCTTCCTCATGGATAATTTCTCCTAGACTGAACAGAGCCCAAATCAGGAATACATATATACCACTAATGAGCTAGAGCTTCTGCTGCTATGTACAAATGTATTGCATTGCAGCATGCTGACACCAGGAAATTGCAACCCTGATGATTTTTTTTTTTTAAAATAAAAATCTCAATGAAATTGTCAGAACCCCACAGAATTTACTCTCTCAAAGGTTTATACTGTCAAGCTGTACCTTTCTTTAAGTGCTATTACTACAAGCATAGGAATTGCCATGTTCATAATTGGGTGCGAGTAGTTCAAATGGTTGTTTTCAGAGTGCATTACAATGCACTTGTCTACACTGAGTCTCACGGACATGTTGCTCAGCCACCTACCCTTGTTGGGTCCTTCTGAAGTTCCTCATTCTTCTTTCTAGTCTCGACTATTCAAAACAATTTGGTGTCGTCCGCAAATGTTGCCATTTCATGGCTCCTCCATATTAATGGATATATTATACTATACGGGTCTTAGTTTCAAACCCTGAGTCCTCCATTATTACTATTCTTCCACGCTGAAAATTTTGTTTCTGTCTCTAATCCAAATTTTACTCAACTGCTTTTCATCTTACCCTGTGACTTAGTTTCCTTAAGTTACGTTTGTGAATGTTTTTCTCAAATTCCAAATACATTATATCCATCTATTCTCCTTTATCCACTGTGCAGTTGAATTTTAAGAGATTGGCGAGACACTATTTTCCTTAACAGAGGCTGTACTGGATCCCTATATGGCCATATTCACCTAGGTGCTTTATAGAATTCTATCTTTAACTGCTGTTTCAATTCATTTACTCAGTGTAGTCTATAACTACCGATCATGATCACCACTAGCACCTTTTTAAAGACACCGGTTACTCACCATCTCTATTCAGAGTCTTGTCCACAATTCTTACATTTAACAGTTTAAAATGAAGCCAGAATCAGGAACCACACCATACAATAAATGAAACATAGCTTACTGAGTTCAGAAATAGTCAATGTTTGGTTGAGTGTATGATTTACAAATTTATCCATAGTCTGTTTCGTGGAGAATCATTTAAAAAAAAAAAACCATCATAAAAACCACACTACCTAGTATTACACAAATGCAATTGTATGGCTAAGCAATTTCCTTAAGGAGTATTCTAACAAAAAAACCAGAAGCATGTCTAGTTTTGTAATCACACTAAGTAGAATTGGGGTGAGAAGTGTCGGGGGGATGGAAGAAATAAAAACCAGCAGAAAATGGCATGCCTTAAATGGTGAGCATTTATTATTTGCATAGTGCATTATGAGTCTATTTCTCACATCCCTGTAAAATACAATTTCATAAAGTTATCCATTCATTTATTTGAAGAAACAATTTAGAATAATGTGTGGGGCCCAATGATAAAAGGGTATTTTCAGAAAGGGCAGTAGTTTATATACTCTTATTTTTCCCTTACCTATCGCTGTCTCACTTAGGTGCCTTTTCTTTCTTCCCTCTGACACCTGTTCAGATGTTCCTGATGCTGCTTGAGGTTTGGAATTAAGTAAATAGCCACTGCTCCACTGTTTGAGAGAAGCGCTATGTTGATTATACTCTGCAACAGAATAAGCATTTACAAAGTTTCAGATTCATTTTCATTAGCTGCAACTTACAGCCAAGCTCACTTTACAAACGATAATGAAAGCGCTACAGGTACTTTTAATCAGAAACATACAAAGTAAATAGCGTAACTATCTCTGATATGTGTAGACACAAAAAATTCAAATCATGGGGGCAAAATTCACCTCTCAGTTATACTGATGCAATCATATTGACCAACTGATTTATCCTAGTGTAACAGAGGAGCATCTGCCCCTTTGTGTCTTTTTTGCTCATAACAGTACTACAGCAAGGGTTCATTCCCATTTCAGCTAGCATTAACTCATATTCTAAAAGGACCGTTTATATGTGAGCAGTTAGAGATATAAGAATAGCTTTAATACCAAGCACAGGGCAAAAAGCCATTAAGGTGGAAGAGGCCCAACGTATGGTAGAGTGGAGATAAGGGATATGATGTCAGGCAGATTTCCTGCAGAATGCAATACTTTACTATCCCACAGAACTCACGTAAAACCGTCTTATTACAGCTGCTGCGGCTACCTTTGTATGCCATACATATATCGTTTTATTCAGCTTTTCAATACACACAGTCACTTTTCCTTTATCTCGACAAAGTCTAACCAACAACTAATAAATCCTCGGCAGCCGACCAGCTGATTAACCAAAGAAATTATTTACATAGTAAGAGACAGAAAAAGCTATAGCTTTAAGTAACAGACAAACTCACTTAAAATAATTAGTCATGTCCTGATTCAACAAGGTACTTAAACTGTCCCATTGACTTCACTTATGCATTTAAGTACTTTACTGTATCAATGCCTTCATTTTTAACTCTTCCAGCACACTGACATCTCCAAGTAGTGCAAGGATTCTGGGGATGGTCCATACCCCTTATTTTTGTTATAAAAATAATGGTAATATCCTATCTCCTAGAACTGGAAGGGACCTTGCAAGGTCATCGAGTCCAGCCCCCTGCCTTCACTAGCAAGACCAAGTACTGATTTTGCCCCAGATTCCTAAGTGGCCCCCTCAAGGATTGAACTCACAACCCTGGGTTTAGCAGGCCAATGCTCAAACCACTGAGCTATCCCTCCCCCCTATTATTCTGCTATAATTGTATCAGGTTAGAAGTTGATATAGTTAAAGCAATACTCAGTGCGCACACAGTTATACTTGTATGAAGGTGCTTAGATCAGTATAACTTATTCCTGAATGGGAATAAGCTAATAAGAATATGCTACACCTCTTACACACCTTCATACTGGTAAAAGGCATCTATGTTAGGGAACTGTACTACTTTGCTCAGTTTCTAAACCAATATAGTTATAGCAGTACAAAAACAGTGTTTAAATAAGCCCTCAGTGACCATTTGGAGGGGTTTGTTATCGAGTTTCTGAGCTCATTCTGACTGCAGCAGCACCTCTCAGTGAGAGCAATCAGCAACAGGACTATAGGTTATTTCCAAGAAGTTCTCTACGTAATTTCTTTAGCAAGGACTTAGTGAATTAGATGAGTCAACAGCATACTGGTGTGAAAAACATATGGGCCTGGTGGCATTACAGCTTTGGCCACTTTCCTACCTCCACCTGAACACTGGGTGGAACATTTTAATCTCTTGGGTAGCCCCCTCACGAATTCTTGGGAACTGGTGCAGAAGGCCAAAGAAAAGGAGAACCAGGTGTGTTTATGCAGGTTCAATGGTGCCCACACCCAACTATCAGGAGGAACTACACCTGTTATTCCAGCTCATAATTAGAAATAACAAGAAGGGAGAACTGTGCAGCAGCCTCAACCCCTGTACAAGTTGCAGGATAGAAGATTTTACCTTCCCATTCCCTTCACACTTCACCCACATAAAACCCAGCTATTTGGAATCTATGTGAGTGGGATGAGTTTCTCCCTCGATTCCTTATTATCTGCCTCCTCCTAACTCCCGTGCCTGTTATTCTCCCCAATAACTAGTCTTGTGATCTGTTCAGATTGTAAGCTCTGTTGTGCATGCTAGCCATGTAGTGAGTAAAAGCATGATCCCTGCCCATCTAAAAACACATAACAATATTTAAGGCAGCATCCAGTAATACAAAAAGAAAGTGTTCAGAAACTAGCTAAAAAATAAATCTTGCACGCATTAAAATATTTTGCATCACATACCATTGGATGGAGACATTTTAAACTCTACCCCTAGTGCTGAGGTGTCAACAGGATCTCCTTTGATCTTGTCCTCCTTCAACAATGTTTCAAAATATATATGAAGAGGGATATCTATAAAACAAAGGAAGAGATATATACATCTGAGATAGTCAGCCAGCTATGGACCCAGGAGTTCTACGTTGGTATTACATTTCTGAAAAATCTATTTATACAGTCTGTGTTATATTCTGTACAAATTGTATTGCTGCCTCAAGCCCACTAGCTCACAAAGAGTGATGGTGGGGCAGCCCTGACATAACTGACTGGCTGCACGCGCTGGACAATGTCTTCAGATAGCAAAACTGGAGAGCAGCCAAGGGGATGTATTTAAAAAAGGACAAAAGTGAAGCTTGACTACGAGCAGCAGCAAGAGAGACATTTTTGGAGAATTGAAATATTAGCTCTCTGGCACACCCTGTCATAAGTGTGGGGGACGACTGGCTGGAGGGAGGGGGGAGAGAGACTCAGAAAGAAAGAAGTGAAAGATGCAGACATAGACTCTGATGTGAAGTTATTCCTGACAATCTTTCATCTTTGCCCACACAGAATATGTCTTCACTGCCAAAAAAGTGTGTGTTTGTTTTTAACAGCGGGATAACTAACATGCATTAGCTATGCCCCTGTGAAATCCTAGTGGAGACCAGGCACCTGTAATTTTTACTGTGTGGTAGACAAGTGATGTCAACACTATGCCCCCTGCTGTGTGGCTGACCGCACCTAGCTACCCTGCAGTAAAAATTACAGGTGCTTGCTCTGCATTAGAATTCTACAGAGGCATGGCTAAAGCACATCGATTATCCCACTGTAAAAAATAATCCAGAAAGAACCCACACCACCTGATTTTAGCAGTGAAGACAAAGCCATAAAGAAACAAGCCAGAAGGTGAGGGGATCGTAGGCTAACATGACCCAAAGCACTCCAATGTTTTGACAGCTTGTTTAGTCTTGAAAGTTAAGTCAGGGTACGTCTTCACTACCCGCCGTATCGGCGGGTAGCGATCGATTTATCGGGGACCGATATATCGTGTCTCGTTAAGACGCGATATATCAATCCCTGAACGTGCTCCCCGTCGACTCCGGAACTCCACCGGAGCGAGCGGCGGTAGCGGAGTTGACGGGGGAGCCGCGGCCGTTGATCCCGCACCGTGTGGACCCCAGGTAAGTCGATCTAAGATACTTCGACTTCAGCTACATTATTCACGTAGCTGAAGTTGCGTATCTTAGATCGATCCCCCCTCCCAGTGTAGACCAGCCCTCAGATTAAGTTGGGGTGTGAATTTAAAGCACAATTGCTAGTCCTGAATAGTACTCTTATTCCAGAATAAGACTGTCCACACAAGAAGTTATTCGGGAATAGCTATTCCAGAACATCCCCACATGTAGACAAGCCCTAAAGAATATGGTGTGGACGTACGGCCAGGGTCTTGTCCTGCATCTGCACCCACTGGTGCTCAAAAAGTCAGTGCTGTGGAGAGCACATGTTGCACTTTTATTTTGTGATCTGCAAAAGCCTCAATCTAGCCATCTGGGTAGAATTATTTGGTAGTTTTGAAAAATGTTATTGCTGAACGCCGTGGGGTAATTTCAAGGTAGGTGCCCTATTTCTGTCTCTAACAAAGAAGGCAACAGGGAACTCTAACTTGCTTCCTGGGGGAGACTTAGTCTGCAAACTATCTCAAGTGCTTAGGAATTTAGCCATTGTAAAAAGGCAGAAGGACTTTGTTTGAAAAGCCCTTCAGGAAACAAATTTACAAAAAGGGAGCAAAGAGAGGAATGAAGACTTCTTATGCTTGGAATAAAGGAAGGTGAAGAGTCAAGGGAGGTAAGTTTGACAGCTGGGAAATTAAGAAGAAAAATTACACTAATTTAAAGGGCCAAAAGGTGGACAATAATTTTCCAACATTTACATACCATCTTAATCTCAAGTGTCTTGGAGATCTGCAAATACAAAACTCTTTCTACAAGCAATTTTTGCTAACCAAAAAGAACAGCTTATTTCAGTAACTGGTACTGATCTAAGTAAGTTCTTTGTCACAGGATTAATGGGTACCTGCAAAAGATATATTTTTTAATTGGGCCTGTACATTTTCTGCTTCTTTATGAAGTATAAAAATGCCAGAAAGGTTTGTTTTTGACCTTAGAAATATTATGACTATCTTCCCTACTTGCTTTTTTTTGGGGGGGGGGGGGGTTATAGTTGAGAGGATCACCTGGATGTCTTACAGATTGTGAATATGTACTCCCACACCGTACTTAAAAGGATAAGGATATCTGCCCCAGTTTATTCACAGGCTCTGGGCACAATCAGCACATACCACATTCAGATTCTCCTTCAAGATTTGTTCCATGCAAGTCTGAAACTGCCAGTTGTCTAGTACAGATATACATGGATGTCTATATGTCTAAGGTATCCTGTAGCCACTGACAAATACTTGGCAAATATCCATGTTGCTGTAGATATGCTGGAGTGCAAGACTCCATACTAGTAATGACAGTTACCTATCCAAAAGCAAATAGATTTTGGTAAGCCAGTCCAACTGCATCATCTTATTTGGTTGCCTACAAAATGGGAAAAAGACCATCACCAACTTCTCCCTGCCTTCTGTTCTGTTAAACAACTTTTTTAATGGCTCCCATTCTTAAGAAGGAGTCCATCTCTGCTCTGAGCAGTGTCTTATGAGAGAGATCTCTGAAAAGGGATATATAAAAGGACTTGGGGGGGCAACACAGACGAGAATTAGGCCACACAGCTGAACTGTATAATCTCAGCATGCAGTGATCCATTGTATTTCCACTATATGCTGCTAGGACATCAATCAAATGGTGCCCAAAAGAAGGAGGGTCAGGAAAGTAGACAAAATAAGCTCCTGGCAATACTTCAGATGTGAGGCCTGCCAGATACAGAGGATGTACAGACAGCAGATACTGTAGCCTAGCCTCTATTTACGTGCTTTTCTTTATTCTGTCTCATGATTGGTGAAGCTGAAATTTCTGGGAAAGGGAGCAGACAGTCCCCAGAAGAAAGGTGTCGTCTTTGGTATCAGAATGAGTATAATGCAACATCCCTCTCTGTCTGTTCAGGCTGAGTGAGCCCCAGTGGTCTTGTAGTAATCAAATGTCCTTCATTTTCTCTATTTTTATGCTGAACAGATCATCTTCTTAAAAAAGGGAAGCTTTTCAGTTTGAGACAAATGTTCTTTAGGGAGCTGGTCTATCATTAGAAGCATCCGCTCTAGAGGTCAGGAATACAGGAAGGGCCAGAGAGACTTTCAGAACCAAACACTGAAAGAACTAAGACTTCCTAATACATTCCCCATGTCCATGATGGTGTCTTCTCATCTTTAATGGGGTGGTGCAGAGTCCTCAAAAATATAAGATTCCTCAGCATTTTAATTTAATTCAATCTTATTCTTAAAATGGAAGAATGAGCCTAATTCTGAAAGAATGGTCCTGGACTGAGGGCTCAGGGACAGACCCAAGGAGCTCCCAGCCTCATGTTCAAGCTTCTGTGCTTGGGGAGCCCTCAGCAACAATGGAGTTCCTGCACTGGCCAGTTTTGGTCTAGAAGCAGCTTTCCTTTCAGCTGAAGAAGTCTCCAGGCCAAATTAAAGCAGGGAGTATATAAATCCATCTCCAGGAACATGAAGGGGCATGATGCACACTCAAAGACCCACAGATAGGTTGGGTGTAACCAGAGTCAAATCAGCCGTGACACTTGTAGTGCTAAGTCAGGGTCAAACAAGTTTTTCTGCACAAGTGCAGAAAGGCCAATAAAACATTCATTTTAAAGAAAGTCTCTGAACTCCTAGAAATATTCAAAAAATTAAAAACTTTTAACTACAGAACCACCAGGAAAAAAAAAAACACTTGGGAAAAAAGCAAACCAAGTAAAGCTAGCCACGTAAACAAAAGGAAATGAGATGGCTGGGACTGCATGGCCCTTTTTACAGCCTCAGCCCCAAACATTCAGTGCCAAGAGAAGGTGCTTGTGATTTCAATAGGCTTTGTTTTCTTGAAGGGTCATGGATTTCTTTGGCACAATGCATATTCTTCATATGGAAATAAAAACTCTATTACTTCAGAAATTGCTTCTGTATAACAGCAACATTACGTTGGCCACATTGCAGATATATAGTATTTTTTTATTTCAATTCTCCTGATTTAAGTGTTAAACATATATTTTAATGAGCAATGCAATTGAGTTAGTGTCCCTGTCGGAGCACACCAGTTTTGAATTTCCTGACTGATTTTTTCCACCATCAGCTTAAAATGTTGCATTTACAATATTAGTATTTCATACATTTATCTTAAAGGGACATCACTATCTGAAACTTACTCAATTAAAAACAGTAAAAATTAGTTTTAAGCTCTACACATGTCCAAGATCCCCCAATGAGTTTTTTTGCTTTTACAGTCAAGTCTGTCTTACATTTTTAAAAAGAAACATACCTCACCTGTCTCTGCATGAAAGACCTACATAACCAACAAGGTGAATTGGCCAGCTGTGCAAGAGAAACAATTAAACACTAAATGCTATCAAGTGTACAAAATAAATGAACTAAAAAAGGAGAAAAATATTTTCCCTCTGGTGTTTTTCAGTTGTAGTTATCTTAATTGCTACATGCATCTATAGTAGATGCAATATTTTAGAGAGCAGGATGAAATTTTAAGTTGACCATGTCCCTTAAAATCAGGGGTTCTCAAACGGGGGGTTGGGACCCCTCATGGGGTCGCAAGGTTATTACATGGAGGGTTGCGAGCTGTCAGCCTCCACCCCAAACCCCGCTTTGCTTCCAGCATTTATAATGGTGTTAAATATATAAAAAGGTGTTTTTAATTTATAAGGGGGGGGTCACACTCAGAGGCTTGCTATTTGAAAGGGGTCACCAGTACGAAAGTTTGAGAACCACTGCTTTAAATTATACTAAGGGCATTTGTCAGAGCACCTTTTGGCAAGTAATAAACAAGCAAGACGTATTTCTTTTAAGAGGTTTGTTCATAGCCAAAGCTTTAAACGTTTATAAAAACTAAGTCAGACCATACATTTTAGGATTTTTATAATACAACTGGCTGTTCTGTTGGGAATATGGAATTGGATGTCTTACCCGAGGGGAATGATAACACAGGATGAAGAGAGGAGTCCACCTCTGGTATATGTTGTTGTACTATTCTGGATGATGTACCATGCTCAGAACTGCTCCAAATGGAGGCTGGAGCCATGCAAGGCATCTGTGTATTATATGGAAACGAGGCATCTCTAGACAGCAAAGCCTGCAAGGATATTCACAGAAATGTCATCTGAAATGTTCATTTTTCCTTTATTCACTTTCTAAAACTGGGCCAAAGAGATAGATATTTTAATGAGAATAACGACTCAATGCTATGTAAATCAGAAGTGCTCTCACACAAACTTCGACTAGCATAGAAGTGATAAATATCTACTGTCCGGAAAAGTGATTTTGGACTATGTATAGCATATCTGAATGAAAAAATAATTTGCTTCATTTGGGGCTAGGAAAGAACATAGAGTAGCAGAATTTTATTTCCAAAGTAGTTTCCAAATCAGAAGGTAATTGTTCCCAACTAATACGAACAATTTGGTACTCCCTATGAACAAGAAACAAAAAAACCAGTGTTCCAGTTAATTTTCTAGTCAGGCACAACAAACATGATTGGTACATACAAAGAAAATTATAATACCAAACTAAACATCTTTTACTCAGCTTAAACAACCTGAACGTCTTGGTATCTGTACATCTCCATACATTATTGAACTCTTACACAGAAACCCAATTATGCATAAAGTTAACATTAAAAATTGATTTGAGCATGCCATACATTTACATAAAGTCTCACAGAGGAAAGCAAAGTCTTTGCCTCATAGAAACTACAATCTAAGATAGACAGCACAAACAAAAAAACCCCCAACACAATACATGGGAATAATTCAGGAAAGAGATGCAGTGGGGAGTAATGAAGAGGACAATGTAGAAAGAATTTCTTGGAGGAGTGATCTGAAAGAAGATGAGAGGGAGTGGAGGTTTTGACAAACAAGAAGATAATTTATCCAAGTGTAGAGAACTGGATGATGGATGGTGAAAAACTACGTGCTGAAAGCAGGAAGAAATGAGAGCAAAGGGGGTAAGATTATACTGAGCTTTGAAAGTAAGGATGAAGATCTTGAATCTGATAGGATGTCTCATAGGCCAACACTCTGAAGGACTGGGAGCAGTGGCAGAGGAAGACAACTTAACTACAAGAGATGTCAAGGCTTCATAAAAACATTTCATATAAAAAACAGTACTGTTCATGTCATTTTCAGCATTAACAGATACTAAAGCTGAAGTTTCTGTCTTCCTCCTCACTAGCTGAAAGCTTTCACACACTCTCCATTTTTAAGTTGTCCAAAATGGCTCTTAGCAACTTTAACATTCCAGACAATAAAGTCTCTGTCCTTCAGTAGAACCTTGCGTGAGAGGGAAGGGAGGGAAACAGGGACAGTATGGACACTTCACGGCCTCCTGCAACAGCAGCTTATTTAAATAGGACTATTTCCCTTCTCCTGCATTATAACTTCACCTTAATAATCAATAGCAGTAATGGGCATATATTAATTCTTTGTTTTCTTAACAAGTATCTTCGTGATGTGAAGGACAAACAAATAGCCTGACTTGGTTGACACAGATGTCAAATGACCAAAAAAGGGTACATTTGTAATTTTAACTTCTCTTTCTTCCTAGATTCAGAAAGTAGCACTCCCCGTAAAAACTCCCTGCTTCCTGCCTTATGAGATGTCCCAACATGCATTCTGCTGATTATATCAACATTCTCATTCATCAGTGGTGGAGCCCTGATTCTATCTATGGCGTAAAATAAATCCATTCCTTCCCCCCACCTCCAACAATGGTTCTGATAAGTGACTCCAATATTCTTATTTAAGGAGTAAAATAAAACTTTTGGAGACCATTCAGTATTAAATAAAAATGTTTTTCTTTTCCCTCCATAAACAGATTCCCTACTCCAGTATTGATCATAGGGACTTCTGCATTACTCAGCACAGGGCATGCTAGGGTTTTAGAGCAGAGGGAGATCTCGGATTGCTTGGGATTACATTTTGCAGGTTTGTTCAAAGGAAGCCATTACAATATTTTCCCTGGTAAAATATAATTTATGATTATAGCCAGGATCCTCCAATCACGTGCATCCATGTTCAACTTTAAACATGGGCAGTCCCATTGAAGTCAGTGGGACTATTCATATGTTTAAAATTAAGCATGCACATTAAGTGTTGGCAGGACTGGGGTCTTTGTTTGGATATTCCACAAATCTTACTAAGGGTGGTCCTTGAAGAAAGAAAAAAACCAACAACAACAAAAGTTTAACACATTTCTGAACACCATAAACAAACTTGAATGGGCTCAGAGGAAGCCACTTTGACTTTGATTTTTAAAACTGCACAAAAAGAAGTGACCTGCTCTATACTTACAGCTTATATCAGCATAGCTATATCAGTCAGGGGTGTGAAAAAAACACACCTCCTAGTGACACAGCTATGTTGACAAAGCCCCCAGTGTCGAGGCAGCTGTGCTGATAGAAAAGTGCTTCTGTAGGCATAGCTAATGTCATTTGGGGAGTAGTATTTCCACACTAGCAGAAAAACTCCCGCTGAAGTATGTTACCTCTACACTAGAGGGTTATGCCGACATAGCTATGCTAACATAGCCTCTCTAACAGTTATAGTCTGTATTTCCGTTAGAGACTAGTACCTTTCTAAAAAGCCAATACAATCTCTTGGATATGTATTTTTCAAACTGCCTTAACAGCCTATTTACTTGAGAAACCTAAATGACTCCAAGGAGAAATAAATCAAATCTTTGGTAAATTACAAAACTTTCACTTGAGATCTATTTTTCTTTAACCATTAATCATTGGGCTGAAACAAACCCCAGAAAATACACAGATAAGGCTGACATCTTTAAAATTTAGAGTTTCAGTCTTGACTCTGAATTTCCTGCTTTTAAATCAGTTTGTTCCCCAACATTATTTAGGACATATTGTGAAGTTAGTTAAGTCTGCTTTTTCACCTGCTTTGAAGTGCATACAGTGTAGTCAGAAATATCCATCAAATTCTAAATCTAGTTAAAAACAGTAATTAAATTTACAAGCAGTTTAATTCTCTAAAGGATTTTTATGTTTTTGCTCATGTTCTCTGCAGTAAGTCAACTAAAGAGACTCTATTCCTAAATTAGTGTCCAGATCATTCAACATAATGGTACACAAACAAGGAAGTAAAAAAAACAACAACAACCCTATATTAGCCAATTTGTAATTCAAGAGAAAATAATGATTAACACATGCAAAAGAAGAAAACTGGTAGGAAGAGAGATTTTATTTTCAAGCTCCTAAGAAGGTTACTACAAACAATGAAGAGCAGAGAAGAATTTGACCTTGCACTGTTAGGAATGTCTGTTATTACAGCTGGTTGAAAAATTTCTGACAGAAGAGTTTTCTGTTGGAAAAGGCTGATTTAACTAAAACCAAAATGTATTGCAGGAACTTACTGATTCTGTTGAAATTTTTGATGAGAAATTACCTAAGTGGTTTGTTTCAAACTTTCAATACAGTTAAAATGCTTCAATGATAAGGTTGAAAAAAAAAGCACTTCATCACTATCAAAATGAAACTTTTTGATCATGTTTCAATATTTCTGAAATAACTTTGGGGGGGAATTTTGACTTTTCCATTACAATTCAGTACAAAAGGAAATTACAGAAAAAAGTCTGAATTTCCCACACAATGAAAATTCTGAGTATTGACCAGCTCTATCCATTATCCCCACTGAATACAGAGCTCCAACAATTGACAAGGGGTTTATAAAACCTTGGGACATTCTCTATAAAGAATCTAAACAGCCTTAGAAGAGAGATATCTACGGCAATCTTTTATAGAGAAAACATCCGTGGAAACTCAATTCCTTTATCAGCTTCTCCCCCAAAGAGCTTGCATTTTCTAAATTTATTCCACCCCGCCCTTTTTTTCCCCTTGAAAGTGCCTATAAAATCTGAGGTATAATGTCATTCCTAGTATAAATTTAATAACAAGAGTACATGATTGTGTTAATTATAAGGAGATACAGTGTATTTAGAAGGAACACAATTTTTTCTGTTCTTCAGAGTCTATGAAAACTAAAGAAGATGCTTATGGAATGACAATGAAAAGTATCAGAAGTTTATTTTGTTATTTTAAACTACAAGGGGAAAATACACCCAAAGGAAAAGCTAATTCTCTAAACATTACCCATGAATTCTAATCTACTCATCCAGCAATTTATCTTTAGCACTGTTTGACTTTGCTGCAGAAGAAATCAGAAAGGGCAAGCAGAAACTATTCCCAAATTCAAAACACATCCTGATCCAAAAAGATTATTTGTAGCTTGTCAGTGTGATAAACTGACGATGAATCATTCAGCGAGTGATTACTGCCTTTGTTCTGGGAGGATTATTAACTGAACAGTGTTGCTTAAATGCCAGTTATATTAAGAAAGGGAAGAAAGCTTATTACAAGGAAGAGTGAGATAAATTTAGTGCACAATCTTTTGCATTTCAAGTTTTTAATTCTGAAGTGAATACTAATCAGAATCAGTATATGAAACAAAAAAAATCAAACAGCCAAATGTGTTGACTCTTGTACGTTTCTGAGCAATTCTTAGAAGTGAGCCTAAATGTAATAAAATAGCATTGAGCTCTGCGGTTACAACCAATTGGCCAAAATTCAGCTCTCAGTTACACCAATGCAAAACTGGAGTAAATCCAATGAGTCAATGGAGTTACCTCAAATAAACTCCATATACTAGATAGCAGGTCTGCTTGAGATTATGCTTGTGAGGAGCCTGGACACAGCTGAAAAGAAAACGCTTCCTCAGAAATGCAATCCGAAATGAAAATCTAGTTGAAAATCTGAAAGAAGAGGATGCCTACTCACTCCAGATATCCAGATTAAAGCCTATACTTAAGCAATCTTAAGCCAGATAGAATTCTGATATGGAATTGACAAATTATCCTGTTGTGAAGTTGTCACATTTCAAAATGGGATGCTAGCAGCCCCAATTAAGCACCAAACAAATTGCAAATAATTGTTTTTCTGTCTTTTTTGTCAGGAGTGATTTATGCATTCATATGGGCAGAGTTTAAGTGGACTTTTTGGTGAATCATCATTGATTTGTTCATTATACAGTTTTTGCTTTAATAATAGAGCCTAGTGTCACGATCAGA